AAGGACTTTTAATAAATTATTCCTGGCAAGTTTGGTTCAAATTGGTCTTGTGGTTTCAGATAAGATGCTGAAAATGTAAATTATCTAATGACTGATGGATATAGCTCACATGGCCCTATTGACCAGGTGAGCTATAGACAATTCTAAGGAGTAATAAATAAACAAGAGGCTCTCAAGAGCCTGAATCGCTCACCTGTAATTTTTTGCTTAAATCTTTCATCAATGATTATTTTTGCTTTTCAATATATATTAATGAATGGCTTAAAACTTCCATTGAAATGTTCTTTGTATCTGTCATATTTTCTTCAAAATCAAAGAAATGCATTTTACCCCTATGTTTCATTTTAGCCATAGTGGCTATGTTTCTTGACGTACAAGAAAATAAAATACAAAATTTATACTAGATACTCTGAAACTCATTCAGCCCAAGTTTGGCTGAAATTGATTCAGCAGTTTCAAAGGAGAAGATTTTTTAAAGTAAGCAAACTAAATGAACAAATTGTGAAAAATTGATTTTAAAGGGCAATAACTCCTTAAGGGGACAATTGACAATTTTGGTCATTCGAACTTATTTGTAGGTCTTACTTTGCTGAACAAATTTTGCTGTTTACAGTTTATCTTTATCATTAATAATATTCAAGATAATAACCAAAATCTGCAAAATTTCCTTAAAATTACCAATTAAGTGGCAGCAATCCAACAATGGGTTGTTAGATTCATCTGAAAATTTCAGGGCTGACAGATCTTGGCCTAATAAACATTTTTACCTCCATCAGATTAGCTCTAAATGCTTTGGTTTTTGAGATATAAGCCAAAAATTGCATTTTACCCTTACATTCTATTTTAGCCATGGCGGCCATGTTTTTTTAACGAAACGGAAAATAAAACACAAACTTTATTCTAGATACCCTGAGAATCATTCAGCTTAAGTTTGGTTGGAATTGGTTCAGTAGTTTCAGAGAAGAAGATTTTTTAAAGTTAGAAAACATGATAAACAAATTGTGTAAAATTGTCTGATAAAGGGCAATAACTCCTTAAGGGGTCAATTGGCAATTTTGATATTATGAACTTATTTGTAGATCTTACCTTGCTGAACATTTTTGCTGTTCACAGTTTATCTTTATCATTAATAATATTCAAGATAATAACCAAAAACTGCAAAATTTCCTTAAAATTACCAATTTTGTGGCAGCAACCCAACAATGGGTTATCAGATTCAACTGAAAATTTCAGAGCTGATAGAACTTCACCTAAACAACACTGTTACTCCATGTCAGATTTGCTCTAAATGCTTTGGTTTTTGAGATATAAGCCAAAAACTGCATTTTACCCCTATGTTCTATTTTTAGCCATGGCGGCCATGTTATTTGACGAAACAGTAAATAAAACACAAACTTTATTCTGGATACCCTAAGCATCATTCAGCTTAAGTTTGGTTGGAATTGGTTCAGTAGTTTCAGAGGAGATGTTTGAAATAGTTTACACCAGACGGACGACGACGGACGATGACAGACGACGACGGACGATGACAGACGACGACGGACGACGACTTACGCCAAGTGATGACAAAAGCTCACCATTCCTTTGGAACGATGAGCTAAAAAAGGGAAACATTTTTAAAAGTTTTAAAAAGCATTAAAATGCAATTACATTAAAAGAAAATGTTCCACAGCTTTTATGATTTATCTTGTGCAAGTTAAAGAAACAAATGTTAAAACACCTGGGCCGATGACATAAAACAGCAACTTTAAATCTGATAAACTTTACACATTGATCTGAGTTCAAAGAGAAGGAAAGCAATTACAAACATATCTTAGCATGTTATAGACAAAAACAAGAATTGAAAGAAGCAGCTATACACTGAATTATAGGTTTGAACAAGAAATAAAATTACATTCTGTATAACTTTTAAAGTACAAATGTGTTTCTCAATAGTCAAAGCTGAGATCTATTACAAACTACTGTCAGAAAGCACTTTCCATCAAAACTTGTAAGCCCCTACAAGACGGATTTCTTTGCTTGTAAACTGTAATGATTGATTAATTAAAATTCACGAATTTGCGTGAATGGATTTCTAAAGGATTATTCATGAAAAGTTAATGAAGTTTCCAGAATTTGTAGGTACTTATAAATATTTTCAAGACTGCTGTGCTATGGATTTAACTTTGTGACAGAATAGATATGGGAGATGTGAACCCCAGCAAAGTGTTAGTGACTGGGGACAAAGCTCCAAAAATGTGACAGATTTTGATATCCGGAAGCTAAAATGAAACACAGCATTGTTGTTTTGAAATAGCAAGAAAGGCATATTTTTTGTTTTGTTTCTTTTCCTTAGAACTCTTTGATTATCATGCACACATATATACAGTTAGATTTGTCGTTCAATCTTTTTCAAGTTACGAAAAAACAACAGATGCCAAGTGATGGCAGTAGTTTAAATGGATCAGGTGAAAGTAACTACATGTACATAACAATTATTGAGTTACTAATTATTTAACCATTGAAAGCTCAAAAAGCTATATCCAGAAAATGCCATCAAAACTGAGTCATCAGACTCAAAAATAATTTTGCTATTAGGAGATAAACAAAACAGAGACAAATTGATTGATGCAGCACTGAGACTGAATACATTGAACTATTTCATGACACAGGTTCAAAAAGACATCATAAAATTCATACTCAATACCTTTGCCTATGGCACTATCTCTAAAACATCTAAAAGATAAAAAGAAAAGAACTGCCAAGATCTGCTGATAATTTATATCACCCAAATTCCTCAAAATAATGTCAAGTGTTACTACAGACTATTACAATACTAGATTTATAAATGTCTATCTGTTATCTTGAATTTAATTCTGATGATTATTTTTCAATTCCTTATTTATTATTTCACACTACAAAGAAAATGAAAATTCCTCTGCTTATTGGTAAGAGTTTCACCACAGTGTAGTAATAGTTCAAGCACCTTGTCAACCACAGACGATGTCAAGTAACATTTATGTAATATGTACAAATATGATAAAATAGTTTTCAAGTATTAAAGGAAATTACTGTACAGCAGCAAATAAGATAAATATTTATGTAAGTGTTTGCGGAAATGCTTATTAATACCGACACATAATAACTGCATATTAATTTGTACATTTGTTTACATGTGGAATGTGTTGATACTGCATGATCAAGTACTCACAAAACATGTCATTAATTAATAATTACTTAGATCCTGTAATTACTAATCATTCTGCTGAACATTCTGTGGTTTCTGTGGTTAAAAAATTAAAAAAAAATTTCTAAAAGAAATAAAGTTTGAAAAATTATGATTCGTCACTTCTCACAAATCCATTTTATATGTAATTAATTGGTAATATGTAATTAATTGGTAATTTGCAATCAAAGTGTTTGTAATACAAGTGTTTCTGGATTGGTACATGTATGTTCATGGTCATTTGTATAATATTACACCTGTCATGTGACTGGCTAATCAAGTACCAAATTATTCCCATGAAATCATTCATGTATCTCACCCCTTTTCATCTTGTCAAATATTATTTTGTTTCCTCCCATGTTCAATGTGATGTTAGCCAAATCACTAAGTCTAACATATCATTATTTTAGGGACTGGGATGATAAATGTCAAGTTTTAAATGATATGTTTATAATATTTTTTTCAATTGTTTATAATAGGTGCCTTCAGAAATATACTAATACATGTAACCGGGGAGTGGAGCACTAAAAATGGAAAATTTGTTAAAAAATCCCTGTTGATAACAAACATTTCTGAAAATTCTGAAAAAGTTCCAATTTAAGAATATTTTAACTAAATTAAACATACATTTCTTTGTTCAACATTCTATAAAGTCTATAAAAATAATGATATATCATAGAATTGCATAACTGAAAAACTGCTTACTTTAGCATTTTACTTATTTTCAATTTACCATCAAAGACATAATATGAAAATATGATATGGTACATGAATTACTACAAGTTTACTTTATTCAAGATAATTAATAATATTACTTTGGCACTTCTTAAAATGACACAATACTTCTGTTATATTGATATATCGAACATTCTCTTTAGACATGAAAAAGAATTACTTTGTTCTATAAAATTATGTCATACTAAAAGTAAAGCAATATATCTTCTTCAAATGTTTTATGCTACTTATACACTCTGTATGAAACATGTATTGTTTTAGGAATTGTTGACTGCTTGGCACATAGTTTTCGGTCATGCTACCCTTCTATCTGCCATTTGTAATACATAGACACATTACATAGCAATGTTTTTTCATTATGAGGTCCTATTGCCTTTAAATAAAAAACTTATGTGCCTGAAAAAGTCCAAAAAAATCCCAACATCCCCAGATGTTAATGCATATATAACAATGGACATTTTTGTAATCAGTTTATGTTATAAACTGTAAATAACCCACATCTGCGTTTCAATGGACAGGTGCAGCGTCATCAAAATCTAGCATGGAATTTTACTTAAATTGGTGCATGGAGCCCTCTTGAACTTGCAAAGAAGTGTGACCTTTTACTCAGATTTGAATGCCACACACAATCTACCTGAGTGTTGTTTCTTTGTTTTGGGTTCTGTCAAGAAAAGTAGGGATTTTGTTTCATGAATTTATTTACTATATTCTTTCTATTATTTAAATTTCAGGTGGAAAATTAACTGGGCTCAGTAACCCATGCTACTTAATTTTGGGCTGGGTCCCTAAATTTTAGCTAAAATCTCCATACTGCTTATGTTAATAATTTTATTATGGCATGTTGGACCCCATTATGGAAATATTAGTCTTTTCCCCTAAATAAAATTGCAAATAATATATCTCTGTTGGACTGTATTGTTGTTAAGACTATACCAACCTTTTCCATGAAATACAGCAATTATTTAACTGTTGTCTTGTGTGAATATTTATACCGGTACCTAATATTTAATTCATTGCAACTATAATAAATATTGCATCACCATCAATATTTCTATTGCAGACTGTCAAGAGGTTTACGAGAAAGGATATAAGACTAGTGGAATTTACCATATAACACCCCTTTATTCTTCCTGTTCCATTCCTGTCTGGTGTGATATGGACACACCTCCTGGAGGATGGTTAGTTATACAAAAACGATTCAACGGAAAAGTAGATTTTAACTTGTTTTGGAAAGAATATCGTGAGGGTTTTGGCAATATTGCATCTGAATATTGGATTGGATTAGATAATATGTTTCTGCTTACGAATCAAGGACATTATGAACTTCGAATAGATCTATGGGACTTTGACGACAACAAAGTTTATGCCTCGTACGAAAGTTTTAAAATAGACGGAGAACGTGATCAGTATCGATTGGAAGTGCGAGGATACAAGGGAAGTGCTCGGGATAGCTTGATGCATCATAACAATATGAAATTTAGTACAGTTGACAGCGACAACGATAAATATCCAAATTATAGTTGTGCCAGAGAGTGGCAGTGTGGCTGGTGGTTTAATGCATGCTACTTTACTATACTGAATGGAAAATATTCTAATATTTCAAATCCCTCAGATCGAACTATTGCTTGGAACGAGTGGAAACCAAAGCAATTAGCAAAAACTGAAATGAAAATAAGACCAAGTAGAACATATAAGAATTATAAACGCAGAGGTTAAAAAAATAAATGCTCAATGATTTTTTACTATTATTTATTACAGCTAAATTTTTACAATATTTTTTTTCAATTTATACATGTACATTTTTTAATGATTTGAGCTTAATCAAAATAAGCAAGAAATTAGCTTGCTATAATACAAATAGGAGCAGCTAAATGTAGATTTAGATGGATTAATGGCCAGTTTATTAAAACAACTCAATATAAAGGTAAACAGGTACACTACATTTAGATATAAAACATCACTAGAACTGCAGATAAAATTTATAGTACAAAACATAAAATTTAATCTTTCTTTAAATATTCAAACATACTAAACATCTACATCATGATATCTTAATTCATAAATATCATTACTTATATCATTGTTTCATGTTGTAATTTTGTATAGAATTTGTCTATAATGCTAGGACTGATAGTCGGCAATCTATTTTTAGAATTGTCAAGCTGTGATTTTCATGATAAGAGATAAGAAGCATTTTAATCATTTAAAATTCCTTTACATAATATTTCAAGGTTTTCTTTATATAACAAAACTTTACAAGACGAGCAAAAATGCAGACTTTTAGCTGTGTTAATAACAATTTAACTCTTTCTTTGCTGGTCTAAATGAAATGGCCACTCTGTTTTAGGGGATGGCTATTAGCTTTTGAGCCTTTCCATATATGCAATGGGTTTTTTAACATGTATATGGCAAGTGGTTAAGTTGTTCAAATAAGATGGATTTTGAACTGAAACTTTTTATTTTTTTTCCTAAAATCAGTGAAATTTTTAAAGTCAGCAATAGAAAAAATGTTTGGTTATGACTCCCTAAACTATATCCTCATAATATTGACAAATGATAGAAATCCTCATTAATGAGAATGGAAGGAACTGTAATTTCCAAGCATTAATATCGCACATTACATAATACATACACTTCATAGAGCATAATACACTTCAAAGGGCATAATACACTTCAAAGGGCATAGTAGACCTCAAACGTCAGTTGTGATGGCAGTGATGCTAATGAAAAAGGAAAATCTATCAAGTCTATGCTTGATTTTCAAATAGTGTTTCAGTTTATACTTTCAATGTGTTCCTTTTTTCAGGGTCTTATAATCAAGTAAACAGCTAGCATTAGATGTCTGCCTTCCAATTAACCATTGTCAACAATATACTCTGAAGACATTGTGTCAAATAGAAAAAATAATTCAGTCCAAACATCATTAATATTTTCTTTATCAAGAAGAAAATAAAGCAATGTGAAGTTCACTTATTCAATTTAAACTTTAAATAAAAAGAGATCAAATCTATCAGGTCTGGACAAAAGGAAACATTTTCTCCAAATCTAGTTGTTCACCCCTTATGCCACACAAACCTAAATTCTGTCCAAATAAATTAAACCAATAAAAGTGCCTCACCTGGAATCAGCTGATGATATATACTGGTACCATCATAATTTCACAAAGGCACATAAATTCAAAGATAAAAAAAATGATTTAAGGGGAGATAAGTGATGCTATGTTATTAAATATGAAAAGAAAGAAAGGCATTTATGGGTTCTTTTGTTTCAAAGAACACTTTTAGGAAAATATCATAGGTTACTTGTAAACCATTAACTGTGTTACAATTTGTTCAAACAATTTTAGTAAAAGTAAGCACAGAGAAATCACTTTTCACAGTTTCTTTGCAAATATGTCCACGAATGCACTCAAAATAAATGAGGCAATCCATCCTTTCTGTCACTAAGGTATGTTTGAAAGCCAGGTCTGTGTTTTACAAAATAAATTAAAACTAAAATTTAACTTACAAGCTGGGAATCTACATTAACATCAATTTTCAAACACTTCAATATAATCTATTTCATATGATTTCCAGTTATTTTATTTTTTGTTTAAGTTAATGGTTGTTATTGAAAAAAGTAGTTATAAGATTTTCACAGAGATATTTTAATTATTTCATTTAAAGCCAGTATGTGTTTGAAAATTTCTTTTCATGCAGAATGTACTAAAAGGTGAAGAAATAAAGATAACAAATCTCATTTAACAGATTATCAATTTTGTTTCATTTTTCATTACTCTTCAGTTATTCCAAATCATTATCATAATTATTGAAATGCCATTATGAAGTTGATTAAAATCTTACACAAAACTTTTAAATTTTGACATTTATTTTCATATAATCGCTTTAGATGTAAAAGCTTATTTTAACTATTATGGCTGGTTATTAAAAATCAGTTTCTTCTTTATATTTTTATTGTGATAAAGAAGATGCTGATACCACAAATAAAATGTTGCCAGAAATAAAATGTTATTTACTACAAATAATGTCTGAGTTTTTACTGCTGGAACTACAATAATACAACTCAGTACAAATCACTTTACAATTCTGTCTGGTACTGTAATCAATCAATCTTATTTTTGCCAGAGAATAATAAAAAAAATAGCAATGAATCAATCCAATTTTAGAACAATAGTGTTCAACATTTTTTTTAAAGAAAAACACAGTGAAAAAAGCTAATGATGTGATTTCCAAACGCACAGCACATGTTTTTTGATACCTTGATGGCGTTAGTTCGAATGGGTATATCTAATTTACACCAGAATGATAGTTTTCAATAATTTAGGACGGGGTTTTTTCAGCGATTTGATCATATGTTATTGAAAAGCATGATAAATGCAGGGTATCCAATTTCATTTCACAACATCTTGGTGTAAATTCAGATATTATTGCAGGTTTTTATCAATACCCAATCAAGTTGCACTATCCTGTTCTTACAAATAATTACAATTTTTTTACTGGGTGAGTATTGTAATAATTGGAATTCATTTGGAAAGCTAAAGATATAAAACTTTTCAGAGGATAAAAACAAAAAAAGAATGATAAATAATGAAGTGAGTAAGAAAATTAATCAGCAATGCGTTAATCAGAATACTTTGGAATGATAATTTTATCAAATAGCACCTAAATCACTCCAGTCTTATGCATGTTTTGCCTCATTTACCCTGAATCCTAAACATAATAAGTTTTGGTAAGTTAGAGAAAACACAAAACTAAGAACCACAGGAACAGCCTATTAAAAAGAAAATAAGCAAATTAGTACTAATATGACATTAAAGGAGGCCATGACAATCCTGTCTGTTGTCAGATCATCAACTTAGAACTAATGTTAATATATACAAATGAAGCTCCCTGAAAGAAAACTTAAAATGAGATGTAATAGGTCCTTCCAAGAGATTTACAGGACACTATTGCTGATATCTAACTACATAAAATGACATCCAAGTGTAAAAAGCAATGAACACTGAAACAAAATAATAAATGGTGGTAGAAGTCTGACACTTATCGATTGCTGATATCTAATTACATGTAATGGTATCTAGGTGAAAATAGCAATGAACACTGAAACAAAAAAATAAATGGTGGCAGAAGTCTGACACTTGTTGATTGTTGATATCTAATTACATGTAATGGTATCTAGGTGTAAATAGCAATGAACACTGAAACAAAATAATAAATGGTGGTAGAAGTCAGACTTATAGATTACTGATATCTAATTACATGTAATGGCATCTAGGTGTAAATAGCAATGAACAATGAAACAAAAAAATAAATGGTGGCAGAAGTCTGACACTTATCGATTGCTGATATCTAATTACATGTAATGGTATCTAGGTGTAAATAGCAATGGACACTGAAACAAAATAATAAATGGTGGTAGAAGTCTGACACTTTAATATCTATTGCTGATATCTAATTACATGTAATGGCATCTAGGATTAAATAGCAATGAACACTGAAACAAAATAATAAATGGTGGCAGAAGTCTGGCACTTATCGATTGCTGATATCTAATTACATGTAATGGCATCTAGGTGTAAAAAGCAATGAACACTGCAACAAAATAATAAATGGTGGTAGAAGTCAGACTTATCGATTGCTGATATCTAATTACATGTAATGGCATCTAGGTGTAAATAGCAATGAACACTGAAACTTAATAATAAATGGTGGTAGAAGTCAGACTTATAGATTGCTGATATCTAATTACATGTAATGGCATCTAGGTGTAAATAGCAATGAACACTGCAACAAAATAATAAATGGTGGTAGAAGTCTGACCCTTATCAGGCAATTATCAGAGAGAAAATTAACTGCTTACATGATGGCCATTTAGTAGGGATTAAATGCTTACATTGATGGCCATTGAGCAGGGATTAAGTGGTTACATATTGAAAGCTCATTTCCTTATCAAAGTGAAAAGTAGATAGGGTAGACACTATAGTCTTTTTAGACAGCCAGACTAAGTTTTACAATATATCATTTATTACTATACAGAAATGATCAAATGCTATTTTTATAAAATTGAGATATTGTTGATTCATTACTATTAGTGGGATACCTGTTTACGTCCATTTACTGGTTACAGGCAATAGGTAAACCACAGATTAAATGTTAAACTGGTTACAGGCAATAGGTAAACCACAGATTAAATGTTCAACTAATTACAATTCTCTATAGATTTGTATGCAGACTTCGTCCATTTACTGGTTACAGGCAATAGGTAAACCACAGATTAAATGTTCAACTGGTTACAGGCAATAGGTAAACCACAGATTAAATGTTCAACTGGTTACAGGCAATAGGTAAACCACAGATTAAATGTTCAACTGGTTACAGGCAAAAGGTAAACCACAGATTAAATGTTCAACTGGTTACAGGCAATAGGTAAACCACAGATTAAATGTTCAACTGGTTACAGGCAATAGGTAAACCACAGATTAAATGTTCAACTGGTTACAGGCAATAGGTAAACCACAGATTAAATGTTAAACTGGTTACAATTCTCTATAGATTTGTATGCAGACTTCGTCCATTTACTGGTTACAGGCAATAGGTAAACCACAGATTGAATGTTCAACTAATTACAGTTCTCTATAGATTTGTATGCAGACTTTGACAAAACCACAAAATCAAATATCCACTAAAAATGCTACTTTTTCTCATTCCACGAAAATTGGTATCCACGAAAATAAATGAATCCACAGTGGTGATTATGAAATAGACATTTGGAAAAGAGATAGAGGAAGTGTTAACAAGATAGAAATATACCAGATTTAATCAAGGTTTTTAGAAATTTACCATATATAATCAAGTGTTTTTTAGAAGTTTACCAGATATAATCAAGTGTTTTTAGAAATTTATCAGATATAATCAAGTGTTTTTAGAAGTTTACCAGATATAATCAAGTGTTTTTAGAAATTTACCAGATATAATCAAGTGTTTATAGAATTTTACCAGATATAATCAAGTGTTCTTAGAAGTTTACCAGATATAATCAAATGTTTTTAGAAGTTTACCAGATATAATCAAGTGTTTTTAGAAGTTTACCAGATATAATCAAGTGTTTTTAGAATTTTACCAGATATAATCAGGTGTTTTTATCAAGTGTTTTTAGTATCAGACATTCAGTAGACAAAGTGATGATGTTCACAGGGTAGTTATTTATCAGGGATGAAGATTACAGGGGGCAACAAAAACCATATGTCAATGAAAGACAAACAACACCAAGGTCAAAGGGCAAACAGACAAACAGTTCATAAAACACCACATAGAAACTAAAGACTGAGCAACACAAACTCCAACAAAACAAGAGGTGAACTAGAGGGCTCCAGAAGGGTCAGTAGTTCCTGCTCCACATGTGCCACTTGTCCTGTTACTTCTTTTTAAAGTCAGAGGCCACTGTGGCCGAGTGGTTTAAGTAGTCAAACTACTGTATCACTAGCCTGTCATCACTGAGGTTGTGAGTACAAATGCGGCATGTGGCAGGTGCACTGGACTCTACTAGTCTTAATCAACTAGGATTGTCAGTTTTTCTACCAAGGGTTGTGGTTCTCTCTGTGTACTCTGGCTTCCTCCATCAATAAAATCTGACCACTACAATATAGCCAACAGTGCTGAAAGTGGCCTAAAACACCAATCAATCAATCAATCTTTTTTTTAAATATGCTAGAGAAACTTTTCTGGCTTTAAGACTATGGAGGATTGGGAAATCTCTCTTGCCTCATCCTAAGACATTACTTAATTTATTACCTGTAAGTTAATTTTAATTCACTAACCATAATACATGCATGATTGAATATCAATGTTTGAAAGAAAAACATTTTTTCTGAATAGAGAATTGACAAGACTGTTAACGATAGAAAAACATAGAAATTAACAAAACATACAACAGATACAATGTAAAAAACTAAAGCAAAAGAACACAAACCCTTTGAAAAAACTGAACTCACATGATCAAGAAGGATAAGGGGTTCCTGGACAACTGAGGTGCTCATCATGTTGCTCAAGCTAAAATCTGGTGACTGATGGGTTGTCTCTTCCTATATGAATGCATGCACAAAGTTGCTGGAATGGGTCCCTATTTGATATTTCAAATATATCAATGGGTTGCTATTTCAGGATCATATCATGTTATAAACTAACAAACCAAATAAGAGTCTTTCAGAAGTAACTGTGCACGAACTGACTTCAGATTCAAATACATATAGAATGTAGCAGATGGAATCAACAGCCTGCAAACTTCACCATGCATTTAATATAAAGATAATGACATGCTTATATTACATATCTTAAGAGACCTCTGAGAGTATTAATTCTAATTCTATCTTGTTTCAAGGATTTTAAGTAAATAAAGATTTTCTGCTTAGATCTGTTATTTGATTGTGTCTCCTACCAAAGCTGTTTTCTATAGTAACCTTGAATTACTAACATATTGTGTTGAAGTCTTAAACTTATTTACTTCCAATTATTTGTGTTAACCTATCTGACAATGTTGTGTTGAAATCTCGAACTTCTTCAGTTCCAATTATTTTTCTTAATTGAAAATTTGTACATCAAACACCAAATAACTAGATATTACTTTTAGTTTTATGAGGTCTGTCTGAAATTCTTTCTCTGTTTGATTACATTTATTGTGAAAGATTTTATAATTGGATGTGATTCATGGCAATCAAGCAGCTACATTAGTTGGCTTTTTTCTGCTGCATTTCATACTTTCTCCTTCATATATCAATAAGACACCAATATCACAACTCAGGAGAATTTATTTTGAGCTAGGCATATGACAGGAATTCATCAAAGTTAGATCCACTATCCTCTCCAAATTTCCAATGCAAACAGTACCGTTTTTACATGTATATATGTAAAAAACTGAACCTATCCATGGGATTGGCAAATGTATTGTTCATCGAACAATAAAGAATTATCCTTGCCTACTTGAGGGACCTCTCTGATATTAATAAATTATTGTGTTAAATTTGTG